ACTCCCTCTACGCGGACGTAAAAGCGTCAATTTCAAAAACTTCCGTCGACAGGACTCGCGACTAGAGCCAGAAAATCTGTCAATCTCTCATAGCTACCTACTTGTTCAACGCCCAACCTGTACGTTTGTCTGACCGAAAAAAATCCATTCCACTGGGGTACCATCAGGCGTATAAGGCGAAACTTGCAGATTGAAGAAAGCCAAATTTCTAATGTGAGCTGATATCGAAAAAGCAGAATTCATGCATCGGTGGATCCGCGCGTCGAGCGGAATCTCGAAGTATAGTACACTACTTGCTCCCGCCACCGCCGACAAGAAGGCAACAGAGTCGAACGGCACGCTATTGGTTCAAGTGTCCGAACAGGGACCAAGTGGCCACTTCGATTTACAAGCAGTGCTCCACAAAGGCCGTTGACGTTTGTTTTACGAGGCATCATTTGCGAAGCAGCTCTGCGGACCTCCTTCTCTTAAACCCTCGGTGATCCCTGTATTTTCTCGCTGGATTGTGTTCCGCAGTGGAGCCGCGGTTCCAGAGACTCCTCCGGATAGCGTCTGCGTATTATGCGAAGCTGCCCCCTTAAATTGTGTTATTCTCCTCATCCGACTTTCCTTATTCCCCCTCCGACCATAGACGAAACGAGGGAACTATATGACAGAATCGCAATCGCCCTTTCACGCAGACGTGCGACAGTGCCCCTTATTACCCGCCGTGGTTTACAACCAATTCAGCATTGTCAACATCTGCTGTCGCTTGTTTATTGCAGCTTATATCTTCACAAGCTTCCCTTCTGAGTTCATGAGAGTCCGGGAGCTTCAATGGAAAACATTCTATCGGTAGATAGTCGATTGATAGAGATAGTCCGGAACCGTTGCCGGATGCGGGAATCGAGCGGAACTCGAGCACGTAAGCTTTGGAAATTTCCGTGAGATTCCTCTCCGGTCGTTTTTCACTCCGGTGTCGTTCCCGAAATTTCCTCTCAGGCTCCTCCGAGTGCTCCGTCATAAGGCTAATCGGGAAATGGGTTCCGTTGCCGCATTAAGCCGCGCGACGAAGCAGCCAGCTGTTCTTTCGGTCGCGATCGGCGAGGAAAGACACTCGTCGAGTTTGTTTCTGAGTGCACCGAGTTGCTCAACGAGAGCTCTTCGGAGATTTATCTTTCGGTGAGCGACTATTGTGTTTGCCGTTATACTCGATCCGCCGCTGCGCGATGATGGCGGTGTTGTGGCCGCGGAGTGAGAATAGAGAGCTCTTCTTCTTCCCCACCCTGTGAGAGACCGCGCTCTAAGGAATAATAGAGAGATAGAGAGCGGCTGTCCTCGAGAAGCCGCTATCGAGCCCATGCTTACGATGGAGCCGAGAGGCCATTGCACGGCGAGCATCCCCTTGACAAGTCGGCCTCTGATCCGTAGGTGTTCAAGCTCCGCCGTCCGAATTCTTTCGAGCGATGTCCGAAGCTTCAGAGCTCCAGCGCGGCGCTTCTGATGCAGATCTCGCGAATCTTTTTGAGGGAACGAGGTCTTCGGCGCGACGGGCATCGAGCGAGAGAATACCTGGACGACGGCCAGAGTCGATAGTTGGGAGTTCGAGGTGCGATCCATTTCGCGCCGATGTCGCAGCCGCAGTCGACGACGGCGGCGCAGCTTCGACAAATCGTGCGCGTCTCCCCCTCCGGCAGTAATTTCGCTGTTTATCTGACTGAGTTGCAGGCTCAATCCATTTGTCCGATCTACTGAGCTGCATCCTGTAGGTCTACTTCAATTAAAGGCGTTGGGAAGATGTTGCTGTTGTTGGCACAATTAGCGGACGACTCGTGAAAAGTTGGGTGAGCGTACCGGCGCCGTTCTTTCCGTTTGTCCGCGCTTTCGAACTGCCGCTGCCGCTGCTGCTGCTGCGGGCGTATCGGCAATCGATGGTCGGCAATTAATCTGCGAATCGCTGCTCATTTGTTATGCGTTAGTCGACCGGCCTGCAGAAAAGGTACATAGAAAACGGAGGCACAAGGGATCAGACGACCAGCGCGTACGGCGGGACGTTAGGAACGAACGGTCAGCCATGGGAGCGACCTTACGGATGGGCCTACACGGCGCGCACCGGGTAGGTGAAAACCGCCCCCAGAGCTTGTTTGGAGTAGATTTCCCTCTCATCCTCTGATGGACTCTCCGTTGCTCTCCCCCTAGCTTACTGTTATAGTTTCTACCATTTCTGCTGTTCGTCGACGACAGATATTTCCGAAGACGACATACGCTGCTATATACAAAGCCTTCTATGGCGAATGTGCCCGTCGCCACTCGATTGTATGTAGATTCACGTCCGACCAATGAGAGCTGAAAATTGAGGCTGGACAGCACCGGAACTTCGATGATCCTCTGTGAAATCGCGCGACCGCGAGACTCGAAGACGAGGGCGTTCTATCGGATCGTAGACGAGTAAGGAATGGATTCAAATGGAACCAATTCCGTGTAATGGGGTAATGGATCGCTTTCGCGGATACCGAGGGCTGGAAGGGAAAGAAGGATTAAGTTCGAGCCTCGGAGCCAGAGCGCGAGTTCTGAGTTTTCTCTGCTAGACCCGTTGTCGATGACCCGGGAGCTTGCTCGTTCCGCTCGCAACCATTGCGACGGGCCCTCTTTTTGCGCAGCGGTCGGGGAAATCCTCTATACATCGGAACCCGTTCCCCGAAGCCACGCTGGAACGCCTTCTGTGCGTCTGCGATGATAAGTTTCACTTGGACAGGGATGCTTTCCGGAGAAAATGAACTCGGTGTTTCGTCCCAGATTCGGGGAGCGGTAGCAGGGAAGAGTCTTCTCCACCGGCGGGAGTCCATTTGGATTTTCGCTCCAAATTCGCTTGCGCACGGACTCAGTCAGAAGACTCGGAAAATCTATTCACCGCTGTCCGGAAAGCATTGTTGACCTCGATCCAAGCTTCATTTGCTCTTTTTTATCGCCCTCCGCAAGAGTGCCGAAAGATGTTGCGTCGGTTGCTCCGAGAGCTCCACATCACACCACTCGATTGCTGGATTTCGTTCGCTGAAGCCGCCGAGCGCGTCGGACTGAAAAACCCAGTGAAGCGTCCCGGATGCGTCTTCGCGTCCTATTTGTTTCCCGAATTTTTGAAGACCCATCGGAGAGGTATTTGGTATGTGGTAACACAAAAAATATCGACAAGACGTAGAAAAGGATCTAAACGAAAAAATAGACCGTGCTCCGTCGGCCGATCTCCTCGAAACGTAGATCTGGAATCCGAGAGAGTTTCGTCGGAGGGCTTAGGGAGAAGCTCGCACTTGAAGGACAAGCTCCGCTGTACGCTCCAAAAAACATATGCTTCTTGCTTCCGATTGGATGAAGTTTTGAAACGAACCACACGGAGAATTTCCATCGTCTGGAACGAGAGCTCAAAATTCTCGTTCGCGCACTGTTTCACCTTAAAAGCTCTTCAAAGAATTCCGCGGCGAGCAACGTGAGATAAATCTCCGTCCGAAGCGCGAAGTCGACTCACTCCCGACGGTTGGTGTGTTTCTATCCTACTCCAGGAATTTCTGTGGATTCCGTGGCGAGTGCGTTCCGATGCAAGTGTTGTATCGCCGACAGCGGCGTACCGCTCCTACCAACTGTTTGATGCACTCCTCACATGCGCCTCCGCAACTGCTCGGCGGAGCTAACGATGAAACTTGTGAGCCTTCAATCAGGAGAGCAAACGAGAGAGGACATCCACAAGGTGCCTCCTTTCAGTCTCGTCCCCAGTGTTTGTTCGTTGCTCCATCTGCCTGTAAGTGTGTGTGTGTGTGTGCAGTGCTAACATAAGAGAAACCGAGTCAAAGATGATTGGGGTCGACTGACCACTATTCGGGACCATACGAAAATGGAGTAAATCAAAGCGAGTCTTCGGAGGATAAGATGACGTAAGGGCAGACCCGATTGAGCTTGACTGTCGGCCAAGAATGCCGCCAGACCAGTTAAGCGCCCGGCCGGTCTGGCTCTTAGTAGTCGCTGCGTAGTGATGGGATGTCATCTCCGATTCGAGCAAATGATCCCTCATGAGACCCGAGAACAATGCAAACATCGCACGACTGTATTGTGCATCTTGGCTGCACGGTCATGCGACGACGAGGCCCGTCGTTTCAAAATAACAGAATAAGGTATGATCTCTGAGAATGACGTACCTATTTCGGAAGCGGTAATTATCCCATGGAGCCGAGCATCCCGTCCCTGCGAATCTCCCTGATCCGTTTCCGTCACGGAGAGAAAATACGGCGGCTTTCTTCACAAAGGAATTCTCAACTTTATTCACAGGGAATTGTACTATCTTATGCATATCCCTCTCCAATGGTCTCGTCATCAAAACATCGGTCCCTTTGATTTGTCGCCAGAATCGGAAATATCGATCGGCCCGAAGGGTCGAGCTCTTCGACGGCCTCACCGCGATTCGCACCAAGTAGAAAAATAGATTGAAACATCTCTTCGGAAGTCCATCCACGATTATCGCATTAATCGCCGAGCAGCAGCAGCAGCGACGACGACGGCGACGACGAAATCCTCTTAGAGGCGAACGGGGCGCGAATCAGAGAAACCTAAGCGCTTATCAAACAAATGGCAGTAGTTCGCCCGCGTGGAACCAACATACACACGCGCGGGAACGAGAACAGTTGCTGTACAGTTATGTGAAAGTACATGTTTGCTCATGAGAATTTCTATGCGGATTCTTGCGGGTGATTTCCCCGAAACCAATACATGGACAATAGATCCGCGGCAAACATATCCAGCCGCGGCGGTGACAGCGATCCAATGATATGGTGAGCGAATCCATTCAGGCCCTCGCGAAAACAAATCCTGAAAATCGATTCGCGGATTGTCGCCTCCTGCTGAAATTCAAATCACATCAAGCAACGGAGAGGAGTGAGTTGTCAACTTCAAACCCGGACTAGGGTCAGGAGGGGTTTCTTTGTTTCCTGACGCTTGGGAAGTTCGTCCGGGGAGCTCTCCTCCCCGCTGAGCTCCTGCTATACAGAACTTTCGACGTTCTCGTCTGTCAGCTCCAAGTAGTATTCGCTTTTCAGGAGCTCTCTCCGGAGCGGCAATGTGTTGTATGCGTTCGACGATCCACTCACTCGGCGGGTCGTGATGGGACTATCGTAGAGATACGCCTGTGAACGAAAAATCAGGGTGCCGTCTTTTTTTTTCCTCTTTCGGTTCGTGATTCAATTCGAAATGCGTCGCCGCCGCGCTACAACACCGACGGACTTACGTTGTGGAGGTCCACCATCGACTTTTGGTAATAGAGGGACTGTCGTCTTTGCAGCGACATGGGCCGCTGGTAGATGGGGGATTCGTAGTTGTTATACGAGGACGACGACGACGGAACCCCGTACTCGACCGTAGGAACTGCCGGGATGTTCGTGTAGTAGAGATGCACCGACGGGGATTCGGGATGCGGACCGCATAAACTGGCTGCGGGGGGAAAAAACAGATTATTCGCTCATTCAATGCTCGGGCCCACCCGACCCGGACGAGTCCCCCCATCCACGTTATTCGAAAAACTGACCTCGCTGACGCCTGTGGTCCTGTGGAGGAGTCAAGTGGGGTATTATGTCGGGACTTCTGAGTTGACAGGGCACGGTATGGATGGATTCTCTCCGGCCAGGATCACGATCAGTGAGTTTTTTGAGCTGATCCTCTTCATCCAAGTCTCTGTCGATTTCGAGAGAGTCAGTGTCTCATGCGAAGCGATGTTTCCCATTCTTCCGAATATACGGGCCATACAGAGAGGACCGATAGCGATTCATTGTGTCCTCCGACGACTATTGTCCTACAACTCACCTCTCTCTCGGAACATTGACTTTATCTTCTGACAATACTTGTAACGCTGGAAACAAGATCCGGGTTGAGTGGGAATTCGATCAGGTTTCGGCATATTCCATCGCGTTCGCTATCGAACGAATCAAATCCGACCCATACTCACTTTTGAGGGCGCAGTTTGTTCTCAGGGCAATGAAGAATATCGCAGACGCGATCGGCACAGCTATCGCTATGCCTAGTAGGATGGGGTTCATGTCTAATATCACCTCATGATCTGCAATACGGAAAATGTTGTCGAAATGGTGAGCGAATTGCTGTCGATATGCTTCGAAGTTCCTTTTTCGCCCGGCCGTCCGGCGGAATCGCGAATTTCCGTCAACGCCCTCGCGAACGCAGAGCCTGGAACTTGTTTCGTGAAGAGTCTGTCTGCGGAAGCGTTGTCAGCGATTTTCTTTGATCCTCCACTCACCGATATACTTTTCAGCGATCCGCATCGTCTGTGCCATGATCACGTGCGGAGCGCTGACACCTTTTACATTGACGGCGAACACAGTGACTCGGAAAGAACTACCTGTCGGCAAGCGGGATATGGAGATGTTCTCTGGGGATGTATGATGTGACGTGTTCGCCACCATCTGACCGGATTCCACGTCGTACACCTGTTGTTAGACGAAAGTACAGAACTGAGTTATTTCGTCATGGTTATCGCAGTTCCGTCCGACGCCCTCGCGTACCGTAATCGAGGGCACGGGGGCTCGGCTCTCTCAGTCAGTCGAGTGTCGCTTGCAGCGAACTTGCGCGGTACAAACATATATCCTCGTCAACCCGCCAGGATCGCATAATAATGACGAAGACGTTATCCGACTCTTGAGTCATCGTCATGGACGGGCCGCCGCTTATTCCCTCGACAAATGGCTCGTCTATGTACTTGTCCCGCATTCACGGGAGGAGTGAGACCGCACTCATATTCATTCGTATGGTGTCAAAACTGAAATCGGAGGGAGACAGCTGATCCTTGCCGGAGTGTCGGGATGGAGAACCCAGGAATTTCGATGATCTCCCGGGTTTCTCCCCCAGCGCACGGCTAACACGTGAGAGGATTAGCAACGAGCGGAGAGGAATCTTCGGGTATCCGCGGCATCGTCCCGCTCGAACACACGATCTTATTCCTCACAGTCTGCGAGTCGCAGGGAGCATCGATCTTCCCGAAGAGAGGTCTCTGAGACGTTCCCTCGCGCGTCGCAGCCGAGCTAACAAGTGACAAATGCGGAGTCATTCCACGCGATTGGAATTCAGAGAATCAAGACGAGACCCGCAAATAGAAAGATATGAGACATGGGCCCGAAACGAACCTGCGCGTAGAAGCTTAGCGGCCGGAGTCCTCCGTCCCACGTTCCTTCGTAGCACTTCAATGTGATGCTGGAAGATGTGGCGTTGGTTTGCGTGCAGTTCACCAAGGGATCCGGGGGCCCTGCAATAGTTTTTCCAAGAGCTAATTATCAGAATGACTTCGAAGAAATAAGAGATTATGGGCGGGACATCGGAAGCAAAAAAAACTGAGTCCCAAGAAGGCAGCGACACTCTGGGCTGGGGTGATCGAATCTTCCATCCGGCTGGAGCCTGCCATCGCGCTCATCGAAGTGATGATGGATCCTTAACTCAGGGATGGGATGCGTCTCGACATAAGAACGAAAGCTAGCCGAACTTACCTGCCGGGACGATCCGATATCGACAAGGATCTCGCTGTAATCCGATGGGGTTCTTCGCCCAGCAAAGCAGCGTTCCGTAGCTGACTTGGAGATTCGACACCTGGAATCGCTGGTGTCTTTAATTTTCGGCGATCGGCAGCTTTTGCGGCCTTCGTTAGAACGTGATAGCAGATCCTCTGGGCGTCTAGACGGGAAGCTTCTCGGGAGACGGTCGAGACGATCTGTCCCGAGGAGGCAGTGTTTGCAAAGCCTTCCCAGTTAGTTTACCTTGTACGTGTAGACATTCCGTGTGTTATCCGCTACGGAGAGGTTGTGTACTCGCCCGGTGACAGTGGAGTTGAACGCCCAGTAGTAGACCAGGTCATCAGGATCAGCTTCGACGTCACACAGGACGCTGACTTCACCCTCCGACGGAACACCGTACGCCAGACGTTGTTTCGATTTGCAAAGCGGCGAAACTGCGGAAAGAGCTCGGATTTGAATTCCGATGTTTTCGCGCATGTGGTTTCCACCACGTTGGCGAACGGCGCGTCTACGGAGCATATACGAACAAACAACCCGGGACGAGCGACGAACAAACCGAAAAAGCGGCGCCTTCGAAGGTGAGCTCAGAAAACCGAGAGCCTAAAGAAGTTTACAGGCAACAGTTCAGAGGACTTACACTTAAGCTTTAAATAAATCTCATTGCTCGTTCCTCTGCCCTGCGAGTTTTCGGCCTGACACATATACCTCCCGCGATGAACTCGCTGAATGCGTCGAATCAAAATTCCCGTTGAGCTCTGTATCACTCGCGGAAGTAAATCCGTGCGGAGACGATCGCCTGGAGACGGGGAATATTTTCGTATTTCTTCATTGAGGAAAAAAAGCACTGAGCACCTGATCGAAAGTCGAAAAATGACACTACCTTCGAACAACCACGTGACATTAGCGGGTTGAGGATTAGCGTTGACGTGGCAAGTCAAGCGTATATCCATTTGTTCCCGAATATCGTCAGGATTGATGTAACTTGCCAGTTCAAGCGACGCTTGCGGAGGATCTGTCGAGCATATATGAATGCGTTTTTTTCTTAATCTGCTAGCAATGTGGTACCGTACGGACTAAGATTCTCGGCCGTACGTAATTCAGTTTGAGAGGTCTGCGTCGCGCTCAAGTAACGCCGCGCCGTGCCGTCTGGAATCTGCGGATTTCTCCGTGTGCCGGGCTCGGCACGTTCGCGGGGCCACGTTTTAGGCCGATGAGTGTCATCTATGTTTCACAGCTGACTCATTAAACCGAAAGGGGTGGATGTCGATGCGGTTATCTCCTCCGGTTCCCCTGCGTCCCGCGGTTTCCCGCATCACCTCCCATGGCCGCTGCTGCTGCTGCTGTTGTCGTCGCCGCGGTCGTCTTTTTCTTTTTCGTCGTCGACATCGTTGTTTCGGCTCATCCCTGGGCTTCGTATCGAGCGTACATGTCAATTAGCCTTATCTGCCACTATCGGTCGAAGGCGATAGCAGTTGCTGCTCTGTGCCCTTGGCGTGCGAGGCAACTAGCCGACGCTTCCCTCAACTGGAGCCAAGGAAGACCACACCCCCCTTTATTAGACCTAGAGATACTACAGTAGATATCGGAGAGGCGATGATCACGTCGCTCGCAGCTCGGCAGCTCAATGGTCACCTGCTGAGTCGATGGAACGAGCGGACGGCGCAGAAACTGTCGATTCTCGGCCGTCACGGCGCGCGACGACCTTCCAATATGGCTAATTCATATTCCTCATAGCTCTAAACTTACAGTGGACGTCGAGTCGAAGACCATGCTCCAAAGCGCTGCCGGGGATTAGAGCGTTCTCGGCTCGGCAGGATATCATCTTGCCTGATATGAAAAAAATCAAGTCAAAGACGAGTCCTCGACCTTCCTCCTTAACATACACAGAACGGGCGAGTGATTCACTTCGTCGGCGGCGGCCACTTGGCTAGCGAATGAGTCGGCCAATAGTCAATTACCGTTATCTTCGGCGGAAGGCGTGAGCATGAGTACACTAGAGCTGCTCTTGAGACTGGCCTCATCCTCCCGGGCTGGTTTCAGTTGTCGTCCGTTCATCCACCAACTTAGTTTCGCAGCTGGCCGAGAGCCCGAAGATGTGCATCTCAGCAAGACTTGTTGATTGGCAGAAAGATGAGATGGTGGATGTTCTATTGTGACGTCGAGTGGCTTCACTGCAAGCAGAGCGTTCGCAAGTACTGCTTCCGAGCTTCGCTGACGACTTCCGCTGCGAGAACAGTTGACATTCTACGGTTTCATATCGAATTTCTCGACGAAATTTTGCGACGAGTTTCGTAATCAGGCAACTCGGACTCCGAGACAAGCGAAATATCCCTCGTCGGGCTCGTTGGACCCGTCTGTTCCGAAATCAAGATGAGCCCAGCGACTTGACATGCTAGCTTTGCGCATTGTGAATTTTCTATTGTTTCCTACAGCGAGCCTTTTATGTAAATTATTATGCGACGTCGCATGGAGTTCGCCTTCTTGACGTCGCCGCCGCTGTCGCCGACAACTCGGTCATCCGTGTCTATCTGGAATGCCTCAAGACAAGTGCACTAAAGGGCCACCGGCTCGACAACTCGACTCGTAGGAGCTCGAATACATTCGGACACAATTGTCGAATGAACGGCTTCGGCAGCGATCTGAGCCGATTCATTAGAGACCGGAGCAGCGTACGATCGGAGCGCGGGGACCTCTTCGTGGAACTCCGAGATACATAGTATCGGGGGAATCTATTCGCGAAGGAAGACTCGCCGTCGAACTCATGGCGTTCCGACCCGGTAAAATCCACTAAACCCTCCGCCCTCGTCTGCTACGTACTGTGGAATGGGATCCGACTTACCCCGGAGGAATATAGGCCCCGGTATACTTAAGTAATAAGAGCGGGAACACTGAATTTAGTTCATCAAAATAAGCCCATTTGAACTCAGATATGACGTCGATGAAATCACTTACGATTCAGATCGAGAGTTACAGACACTGGATTCGGTACGGTGATGTTGTTGTTCGATGCTTGGCAGACGATCACAGAGAGCAGATCATCTCTCGTCAAGGCTTCGATTTCCAGCACGTTCTTTACTAGATTGTCCTCGGCGTCGTAGAAATAAGACTCGTCGATGAGCCGATAATCTTTCCACCACGTGACCGAAGGCCGTGGCTTGCCTGCGGAAGACTCGCTGTCAGTCAGCTTAACCCCTCACCTAAGAGCCTCTGTGAGAGTACCCGCCTTAGCGGCAGAATTAGGATCTGGAGGAGGAAGCGAGGAGACCGAGGAGCAGCGAATGATCAAAAATGTTGGATTTGCATATAACCTGCTGCTGCCGGTTGTTCGGACAGATTCTCATTCAGACTACGCGGAGAATTTGGAGAAGAACTCGGGAGCGAACTTCTTCTGCCTTTCCTGATTCTCCACGAGGGAAAACACACACAGCGAGTGCGTCAAGTAACATTCGCCTCGATTCGGGGTTTGTCCACAGCGATGATACGGCTACGCATCTACAGCTGTTCGTATTGTGGACCCAGCCATTCCGGTTCGAAAAGTTTGGAGGTCTCCCGTTCGGGGACACTCGAGACGAGGGGCGAGGGAATAAACACAGGTACAGATCCAACTCACCCTGTTCAGATTGACACACTAATACCAGAGGGTCGCCTTCGTTGAAAGGACCTACGAGTCCCCTGAGTCTCGACGATCCCTCCTCATCGACGATCACCGGTTCTCCCGAGGGCACTGAAACAATATGTCTATTGACAACTGCAGTCACCGGCTTCCCATCGGGCGTGCCATGCAACCGCACGGTCGGAACCGCCAGCCGGTATGGAATTCGGACGGGGAAAAAACAACGTCGGTTTTGGCATCCCGTAATACATCCGAGCAGAGCGCGAAGCGGGGAAGTTAATCCCGCTTGGGGAAGAATGCACAGAAGCCAGACGGGGACAATAAAGAACGACATGCGGGCGAGCGGGGATTCTTTTGTCTATTCGTCAGAAAACGATACGTGCATTCGCAAAGCGCTCACCGCAGAGTCGATCGAAGCGAACTTACCGATTACTCTGAGATTGATGACGGTATTGATACTCCGCGCTCTCTTGAAATCCACCCTGCAACGATACTCTCCGGCATCGTTCTCATGGACAGGGTCAATTTGCAGGAAAGCTGGTTTGTTAGCCATATTGAAGAAGGCTCGTTTGCCGAGATCACTGAGAGTAGATTGCGGCGCCCGGTCCAAATCCCCTCGACGGGCGTCCAAAGTGAATATCGGAGCTGGGATATCATCCTGGGACCAGACAACGAGTTTGAAATGATTTTTAAATATCGTAATCTCCTCTTGTAGCGCATTCGAAACCTACGAGTCGGGGTCGCCATGGCTTGTTCTCAGGTTTTTCGCCTCGGAGCTTTCAAAGGTTCAGCCTGCGGACGTTCCAGGAAACTCTGCGCGAAGAGGAGGAGCTCGCCTCCTCGGGCGCGGAAAAAGCAGCTCCCGAAGAAGGACGGCCACAGAACTCCCGTGGTGTTTCTCGCATTGACAAATGTGGCCACGCGGAAGAGATTCGGTGGAGCTGCTAAAAATATTTTTATTGTACGTAGCGAAACGACGTACCTTGTACCAGAGGACGAGAACTACTTCGTCGCCTGCCGTAGGTGGCTCTATGTTGCACGGCAGAGCCACCTTACCCCGAACAACGGCCGTGTACGTGATAGACGCTGAAATGATAGAATTCTTTGTGACAAATGCAAAAGTTGCGTTTCACTGCCCTGGTGTAGCTTTCCAGGACAGAAGGCTTCGGGTACACTTCGGAGCCAAGCTCCGACATTGTACGCAGTCAATCGATTGCGTCGCGATACTCGCTGACTCGACGGCCGACCAATGTTTCTGGCGGCCGATACTCCGACTCTAGATAGTTTTGGTGTCCCAAAAACTATCAGAGGGAGCACGTTGGGGAGAGAGTATCAAAGCCGTGGGTTTTCCGCTGTACTCGTTGTCCCGGCGGCTGCTGAGGCTCGCTAGCCCAGCGAGCTGTCGGAGGAGGAAATTAAGAGCATCGTGTTCTCCAGAGTATCAGCGTTCTGGCCGCGGAGGGAACTAATGGATATTAATTTGAAACGGAAACTTTTGTGACTTCATTACAAACGCATCCCTCAACACGAATTCGCTTGCTCAGCCGAAAAAAAGATGTCAATGTCGTCGGATGGTCGCTTCCGACTGCGCTAAGAAAGATGAACAAGACGGCGCGGCGCAAGAAACACTCAGTCAGTGATCATGTCGGCTGCATAGAAAACGTCCAATGAGTCCGATGAAAAATTAAAACCGAGTGCTGGATACCTGGGGATGTGGACCTTGGATTTATCAGTCGCGGCCGACTGTCCGATTCCGGTCGCGAGCGAAACCTCTCGACCCTCCCGATCGGCGCAACGCTATGCTTCAGCCACGAATTGCTAAGATGAAATGCGTCAGACTCGATGGCTCGATTGTGTCGCTCTCGGGTATCCGCCCTCCTAAACACTTCCTTCTTCCCCGAACGGCTCGATCCACGGATCGATGTCTGAATCATAGAACTGAGAAACGATCCCCGTACACGCGAATTCAATTCGGAGCGCTCAGAGCTCAACCCAGTTTTCAGGTCGAGGATGCGATGCTTGGCATTGGTCGGCTCGGAGTCCGTGAATTCCCTCAGGGGATTGCTGCCGATGAGGATTATTCCGCTCGCACCCTTCAGGATCTGTCAACAAGGCTCGGAAGTTGCAAAACGGATCGAAGAAGTATTCTAGCAGGAGAGGGATTCTGGAGCGGCTGAAGCGCGTCTCAAGTCGGCGAGCATCAACACAGGATCGTGGTTTCTCGTCGAGAATTCAGAAGTCTCACATGCGAGGACCTGCTCCGGAGGTTTCTTATCAGGGGAACGAGACCGAGTCCTGTCGATCGATAAGCACTCCGGTTCTAAGTAGCTTGCCAAATAAATTCTCATTAGGACGATTTAATTAGGGAGGTTCATATATGCTCTTGTCGGTTTCTGATAAGTTCGTGGTCCCGCGTTTCTAGGAGTTTCCCCTCTATAATCACAGTGCCGTCTACGATTCAAAGTACCCCGGTAGCCCGCTCATTCGTTCAGGTTATTTTCCGCGGAAGTAATCCGATTGATTTTATTGGCTTCGTCGGCGCGAGGGAAGTCAGAATCATAATTCAATAAAGTCATAATTCAGATTTCGATCACCATTACAGAAATTCGGTGATGATGACGGACGTATTCTGGTACGAGCCGCGCGTTTCCTAAGGTATATGAAGACGATACCCCGCCGTGCCCCATGGTGATGGGGGTCTTATACACTGACCCCTCGGGGGAGATGAGGGAGCTGAAAGGACAGGGGCGACCAGCAGAATCTTCTAGTCTCGACTGCATTGAAGGTCTCAACTGAGTGAGCATATTCGATTTCCTCAAACTATGGGGAGCCGTCCATGTTGTGAGAGCACAGATCTGACGACGGAATCTAAAGCGAGGTCACTCGGTCCTTACGTCTATGATGGCGCGCAGCAACTTGAAAGCACAGGAGAGTAATTGGATGGGAAGCGGACAAAATGATGGAATAACATCGAGTGCTCCGGACCCCATTGGATGCTTGGAGACAGAGGAGGCAATTATCCGACTTTCCTACCGTCCGCCATCTACCGTTGTCCACCTAGCCTTACTCGTCGTCCGTGATTCTCTTATGAAGGAGTTGGAGAAATGCACTACAGTAGAACCTCGTTATAATGGACCCAAATATCCCAGACACTCGGTTGCAGAAGACCGATCTTTCAGTCCCGGAAAAACCGTCGGGATCTTCAATGTTGAGTGACTCGGCTATAGCCGACCAAATAACGGACTATCGGATATGACAAACCGATTTTGAGGCCCCGATTCCATCTCCTCCCATGCTGATCGAATCGCTTGTTATGACGCGTTTACTCTTGCAAAAAGGGAATTCGGAAGCGATACCCTTGAATTGGACGATTTGCAGAGCTCCTCGTCTTTAGGCGCGTCGCGGGCAAGGCTGCAACGGGGATCACGATTATTTTCACATTTCATTGCGATTCAGAGCCCATCTTCGGATAAAACGGACTCCAGATACACCGGACCCTTTCGACCGCTCCCTTCGAGTCCCTCGAATCCAGGTTCTACTGTATACGCAGAGTCGGTCCATTACAAGCGATCCGCAGAAAATCCGTCTCGAGAAACGGTTCCGGTCGAGGATATTCAGTTTCCTCAGGAATCCTCCGAGAGCGACCTGTTTACATTGGCGGGTTGAGCAGGTTGGAAAGCATTGAAGCATGAGAATCCGCTTCCCCTTCGATGGCTCATGTCAAGGCGCATCGCATGAAGCTCGAACAGACTCGACCGGCCTAGTGATTTCCGAATACGAATGTCAAGGGAAGCGAGAGTGTCACTGGTTGCCGTGGGATCCCGTCACAGTTGTAGTTATTCAGCTCTACCCGCAAAGTGACGCCGACTTCGGTAACTTGCTCATAAAGAGTTTGCCGTTCCGTGGAATTTTTCATGCCCCTGACGCCTCGAACATATGTTGTGCGGCCTCCCGAAAGCGGCTTTACTCAACGGACGTTTTCGGGTTTCAGTCTCTGCAACAACGGGCCACAAACATAGCAATCGATTGGGAGGAGCTCTTGATTCAGCGCATTCTAGCACGCTCCGCGAACGGATATCGCAACTCCCTATTCCGTCCCTATTCCGACCCGCTGTAGAAGCACTTGGCTTATTCTGCCGACCGCGTTTAGACCCAAGTTGTCGTTGATCGGCCGAGAGACTAAAAGGAATCCGCGTACTCGGAGGAGCTTTTCCGCCTGTCAATGTTCTCGTAATGTTAACGAATAGGAGCTTCCTCCCTTTGCCTCGTGCAGGCCTCTGTTTGCGGGAAGGGTCCAGATAATCAGTTGATTGGTAATGGGAGGGATGCGGTCTATCGCGAAACGATTGCGTTTTTCCCAAATGAACAAGCTGTTACCCACCCACTCATCTACTTGTCAACTCCATCATTCGGATTCTCAAGCTCGTGTGAGAATTACGTGTCTTCCCCTCGATTCCCAACGCTCCGTGGATCCTTGTAGGTCCGGGGAAACCTCAGCTCTGTTAGAGTCGATTTTTATTGACCGCGTCTTGTGTAGTCGGAGCGAGCCCTGTCGATCAGGACAGGAAATAAAGAACTGCATCTGCGGACAGCTCCTGTGTACGTCGAGCCCTGGACGCTCCCCAGCTCGCCGTTTCCGCCCCTTCGCGTCGCTGCGTCGAGGCGGTTGACATGATTCCGAACGCGGCCATAGTGATGGAAGCGAGTGACGACGCATAGACGCATTTGGATTTCTGCTCGCTGCGAGATAGTCCGCGGTCCGCGCACGTCATTGTTTTCGAAACGCGAAGAGAAAGAAAACATGCTTCCGTAAGGCAAATGAAATAGTTTCCACAAGGGCCTTTTTCCGAGGCATTGGATCGGTCGCTGCCGCATCGGCTGCGCCGGTCGCTCTCTCCCCTCCGCCGCTGTAATGAATTGGCTTTTCCTGAGCGAGTGCGTCTCGTCGCTTGCAAAAGTTTGAATTGGAAAAGCCCGTCTGCATCAGACGTACACAATACTTTGTGTAGTAATAACAATACTGTCGCGCTTGAACGGTCTTGAATTCTATCGAGTTAAAGTTTGGCAACTGTGGCTTGCGTCTCCAAACGGGCAACGGGTTCAGACGTACATACGTGCAGTCGTTTAGGGACCCGCGAGAATAACAATGTATGAGCGGCGACGAGAAGCTCCGATCATTGTATGCTTGCGGCTGGACGGATGCTCGATTTGCTCCGGAGTGGGAATAGGCGATTGAGAGCTACGATATAGCAAATCAGGAAGAGTCGGGATCGTCCTCCACCATCGAAAGCCGCCACGCTTTTCGGAGCCGTATACACTGCACACTATGCAGAACAGATTCGTCAACGGCCGGCCGATTCCAATTCATCTCGGTAGGAAACCACAGGAATGTGCAAGCGCAGCTCCTCGCTCATAATTTCTGCAATGCTTGACGTATCATGGCTCAGACGGCCCTCAACGTGGACCATGGCGGAGTATCCATGGTGAAACTTCATCGCTTCAGAGATTCCACGCGCGACGGTGGAGAGGAACTCGAGGCCCTCGGCAACATGTGATCACTCCGTGTACTATCGATTCAGTTCCGTAGGAATCTTGGAGGGTGCCCTGCTAACTCTCTGAGTATGGCGTCTCAAAACCGACGCGACGCTTCCAGCCAAATCAACGCAGGTAGCGAGGGATTCCACACAGCAAGTGAACGTCATTTAGATTTGAGCACATTCGAAGGAGCGGGTTCTCGAGTGCATCACTTCGCCGTCTACTGACCGCCCTCTGATTGTGATTGGATGACTCGGAGGGAATGATACATCGCCGTAGAGAATCGAGAAACCGAAGGGTTTCGTCGACTCCTACGGTCTGCTGGCAAACAAGCAAACAGCGGCTGGGTAGACAGAGGGGCAATGTGATTCCCTACAATCATTTTCCTCCCTCGAGAAGCCTGTTCGGCAACGGGACATTCCCTTCCTCGGTACATTCGTCGGCTCACTGTCTGTAGGTCGGCGTTGTTGTTGTCGTTCGTCTCCATCGTCGCGAACGATACGGGGTACGGCGGGCGGGCCGGCCGGCTGGCCGACTGGCCGGCTTGCAAG